TGTATAAGAGACAGCACACATACACACACACACACACATGTATACAAGAGCTGTTATCTTTATACTGAAAAATTTATTGATTATTATCGCAAAACTTCCGTAAGCGCAAAGATTAGTTATTTCTGTGGTGAGACACATCTTATGGTAATAAAGGGTAATAAATTTCTCTGGGAACATTGTTTAATGCCGCCCCATTATATCATACAATAACACAATAATAATGATGAACTTATCGAGACATCTGGAACTCGAAAGTTTCGACCCTCGCGAGAGAAGCGGGCAGAAGAGGAGGCTCGGTTCCGCCTTTACACTCGACAATCTGCTTGATGATGGAACTTAATAAAACAAATCCCGCTGTGTAAACAACCGAGGAGACTCGAACCGACGTCATTCAGACAACAGCGAGTTTTCCTTCGAGCCAGCCAATGATGACGGAGCAGCCGAGGCTGGCCCGCGCGCTCGAATACCATTAGATAAGATCAATATTGTTCAAAATACGGTAGAAGTTTAACGCATGTACATTACGTGGCATTTATATCATGAATATTCCGCCCGGAGCTGCTCTTCTGCTCCCTCGTGGATGTCCCGCGTCGCGCTATCTTTCTCATTTAACTCTCGTCTTTTATCTCGAAATTTGTCGCTACGTAAACATCGGTCGATTTTGATCTGAATGTTTAGGATAATAATTAAGATTTTTGACGATGTTTCACTGCGATTTCTCCACGATCGAGCTCTCGATCTCCATTTTTATATTGCAGGTCACTTCGCTGTTTGCAGCCCTGAAGCAACAGCAACAGCAAACGCGTGACAGCGTCTTCTCCTCGTCGCGGGACCGCGACAAGGATCGCCTGTCCACGGTCCGCAATCGCGACTCCGGAGGCAGAGGCAATATAGCGGAGACCGGCGGCGTTGCTGATCAACAGCAGCAACAGCAGCAGCAGGATCTCAGTATCGAGTACCAAAGCAATGGGAAGCTCAGTCCCGGACACGCAGTGACACCAGCACCCATGACCCAGCAAAAGCAGCCAATCATCACGCAGCAGTCGCAACAGCCCAGCTCAGGGGTACCGGGGCCCCAACCTAGCCCGCATCAGAGCCCGCAAGCCCCACAGAGGGGTTCACCGCCGAATCCTTCCCAGGGCCCGCCAGCCGGTGGCCCGCCAGGGGCACCGCCGTCGCAGACCCCCTCGCAGATGATGCTCAGCTCGGCGAGCGGCCTCCATCAGATGCAACAACTGCTGCAGCAACACATACTCAGCCCCACTCAACTGCAGTCCTTTATGCAGCAGCATACATTGTACATGCAGCAGCAACAACAACAGCAACACCATCAGGTGAATTTCAATCTTGCCTCGTTTTTTTTTTTAATGTGTTGAACATTTGTTTGATAAGCATTTATATGAATATTTATTGAATATTATTATTTTTATTTTTGTTTAATATTTATAAGTGCATGTGAAATACTGGAAAAAAGTATTTTACTTAATATATACACAAATGATATCAAATTAAATACACTTTTGTGTCATATCTTTTATAAATAAAATATTTATGTTCTGTTGTGCCGCATAATAAATTTTATGATGTTTAGAATTTGTCTGGTTATATATCATAAATGTAGATATAACGAATCAACATATTCTCTAAAACTTCAAAATCTTGCGATTAATGTTGTAAAGCAATCGATTTTAAATCAAGTTTTGGCATTATATTTATTTTTGTTTTTATGTATATAATTTTGCAATATAAAATCCATCAGTTTTTACATCTTTTGCATTATTATTTTTTATTTCTTTATTTACAACATCGCGTTAAATTTCAGGATTCATCTTCGGATCATGCGTCTAATCAGGAGCGGTTTGGTTACTTCTCCTCTTTAAAGAACGTAAGTGAAATTCCTTATTTTACATTTGATTGAAATTACTGATAAGGAGGAAAAGAGGTTTCATATTACACTAAGAGAAACAATATAGCTATTAAAGTAATCAGTAATGCGATATAAATTATTGTTAAAACTTTTTTCTTATTTCATTCTTGTCGATTATTCGTTATGTACAGTGCTATTAACGTACAAGTTTACTAATAACATCTAATAACAACGTTAACCAATTCAAAAATTAGTCAAGACAGTAGTCACGAATTGAAGGCTCTCGTGCAAAAAAGCTATTCTACTTTCAACGGAAATAACTGTTTCACGGAGTTATTTACTTAATGCTGAAATTTATCGACTGAAATCTTTCGTAACTTTTACATGTATACGAGCACGTATATTTTCATTTCGCGTAGAACTCGAGCGAAATGCGCTGTGTGGTTAGCAAATATAGCGCTGTAATTTAATGACACGCGGTATCTTTAAACTTAACTCTTAATTGAACAAACGAAACGGAAACGTAAGACACTTTCGTGAGTTAATCTTAAAAGAGGTTTTGAATTTCGGGTTGCACGCGCAATTCGCCGGCCGACGAGGGACTGCCGCGGGAAGTTCGATGCTGTAGCGAGAGGGTTGATACTCGGTCTGTGTAAACAGGTAGTCCCTTCTATATCGTTACGATAACAATACACGTCGCGCGAACCACTTTTGCTATCCAGCCGCAGTGTTATCCTGGCGCCTACGATCCAATAAGCACTCTGATATTCCTTTTCAAAAATACCAACGCAAGCGACAACAAATATTTTTCATGGCACCGTGTAGTTTATTGTAGCAGAAACTGTTCCTCAAAGAGAATGAAGTGCGCCGGACTTCGAGTTACAGACGTTTCGTTCAGTCATTTTCTAGTAGGAATTATGGATCGAAGTAGCAATAACCCTTAGTGCTCGTGTAAAATTTTCGATCAGTAAAGACGAATAAATATCATACGAAGTTTAGATTATAGATCGAATCCAAGGCCAGTCCCTGTTATAAGTAGTGGATCGCTTGAAAACTTGTTGAACGTCGGAAAAATATTTACAATTCGCGGGAAAAATAATGAAGTACAGAATAAATATGAAACATAAAGAAACCGTATGCTTAACATAAACGTGGAAAATGCTTATTAGCGGGAACGTGTTTGCGCCCATTAATCGTGCAGAGTGTTCGTTTATAGTAATATGATAAAGGGTGCGTACCTCGAAGTTTGTTTTAAAATATCCTCGAGGCGCACGAGAGAGACCGAGAAATGAAATAGGCGGAGGGAGGTTAGTCCGGAGGGTGAGGTAAGCAATTAAGCATCGCCATCAGCCGTTGTGTCTCGTTGTTTGTCTTCGAGCTACCCATCAACTGCCCTCTATCTTCTTGCCCCCTTGGTGCCGCGAATTATCTGCGCCCGTGATTTATTCATCATTCCAAGACGTAAGTGCCGCCCTTTCTTTCCTCTCCTTTTTTTATTCCGGCCGACTAATTTGACTAAGAGCGAAATGCTCACTTCTCTGACAGTTTAATAATAAACTGTCGATATCATTTGATTTATAATTAATTATCTATGTCTTTTAATTAAGAGATACATCCTGCAGGAAACTTATAGTAGCAGGAGGGCAACAATTAACATAATAAAATAAAAATTAAATTGAGCTGTTCTTTCTTCTTTTTCTCAATAAATTATATATGTTTTAAAAATTGCTCACTTCTTGTAATACCAATTATGTTGTGACAATATAATTGTCAGTGTATTTAATTGGCAAAGTGATATGAAATGTACTTATATTTGCATACCGGCGTTTGATTTGTTTTAGCATCAACATCAACTCGCGGAACTCAACAAGAAACAGTTGGAGCAGGCGATGCAGCAGCTGCAGGAACAATTGCAGCTGAACTTATTTCAGCAGACGCATTTAATGCAAACGGCGGACAAAAAGAAGGCATCGGCGCCGCTCCAGCAACTAGCGATTCAGCAGCAGCAACTGATACAGCAATTGCAGATCACACAGAGGCAGTATTTGTTGCAGCAAGGACTGAGTCTTCAAGGCCATAATCCATCTTCAGGTATTTATGCACCAAATGTGCTTGATTAAAAATATTTTGATACGCTTTAATCAATAATTTTTTAAGTATGATTAGATATTGTTAAAAATATTTTATTTATTATTATTTATTGCGGGAGCATAAGACATATTCGCGATTTTAATAGAACGTATTTAAAAAGAGATAGATTTGAGATGAAATCTTATAACAAAAACTGTAAATTTTATAATAGCGATAATTCTATTATTACTTTCTTATATTTTAATCAATATCCAGCTGGATTGTTTAAAATGCAACTTCAATGAAAAGATTTAAAAGCGTTTAGACGTAGAGCAGGTCAGGTCTATAATTAAGCTACATTTTAAATATAAAATCTCATCTAAATTGAACCTTAAATTTAATTAACTGTATTTTTTATACGTAAAACGAAGAATTATTAAAACTCTTCTTAAATTTTTTTGTTTAAAAAATGATATTTGTACAAATATGTAAGTTTCTTCAACGATAATTGTTAGTCATTGTTTTAATCTCGCACGCGTTCTGCCTTTGGTATTATTTTACATATCTCTGTCATCAGAAAGTTTTTATCAACGCACGTTCGTGATAAAACGATTTTCAAAACATATACTTTTAATTCGTGTGTCACGTCTTTATATATTTTTTTTAACACGGGTGCTTCGCGTAAACATAGGAATGAAGGCAATCACATGCCGTAACAGAAAGAACACACGCGTGTATTTGCGACGTGTGACATACTCGTATCGTGGGAGTCACATATCATCGGTAACACGTGCGCAAAGACGAAGATCAGCTTTGATACCGGAGGCGTATCCTCTTGGTTTTAAAATTAAAACGATCCAGCATCTCCTACACAATCCTTTCGAACCTTTACGCGCTACGTCTCTTTAATTCTTCATTTTTTTTCTTCCTTTTAATTTCATTTTCTTCCTCTCTTCTTCCATTCTCCCTTGCGTCTCCCTTTCTTGCTTTTCATCCTGATGGACAAAACTTTTCACGCAGAAGCGTTTCGATTACAAACCGGTGCTCGTCCCAACGATGTTCTCTTTTCTGACACGTGTACGTATACGTGATACATATGTTCGAAAGGATCATCGAAATAGCAACCGTGATTCATCGTCAGATGCTTCGAGAGTTCATATCTGGCCGTTATCCTTGACCGTGCATCTGCCCTTATTCCCACCGCTCACTATTATATCTTCTCATTCTATTTTTTTATCGCTCAAAAGTTTAACCGTCTTATCTTTTAGTTTTATCATTCTCAAAATATTTTCAGTTCCCTTTATTATCTCCTCATCGACGTATTGCAACGTTTTTTTACACGTAGATATGTTTGCTTTACTGCTTTTGTCTTTCACACATAGACATGTGTGATATATTTGTGTGACTGCTTCAAGATGCGTTAAACGTTATTATGCGTTACGAGTATTGTTTATTATCTACGATGTTTAAATATTTGTAGTGCACAATTTTTCTTTTAAATTAAAACTTACGATATGAAATTATTATGCGATACGATATATTTTTCTAATTAATACTATTTTATTTGTAAAATTCAACGATAAATATATTTTTGAAAAACCGTAACAAACAAACGGACGAATATATATTACTGACTGATCATAAATATTTATAAATCGGTGTCTTTTTCTGAATTTCAAGCAGGTTTGCCATCAAGTGATAATCTACCATCATGGAAGTCAGAGCCCTCAGATGCGCCGGAATCCCATCAGAATTCCAACGTGTCGAAATCCAATTCTGGATTGAACGGTAAAACAATAGTTCCACGCCTCTCTATTGATCTCGAGCTCGCTCGTTTTTTTGTACTCTAATTTCTCCATGCTTATGTTTTACTTTTTGCGAATGCGACGTTCGTTTACCGAACTATCGCAGGCATTCTGAATTCGATAGCTTCGAGCCGACGGTCCGAGGTGAATGGCACAACATCGATGGACGAGAAGCCGCTGGACGCCTCCTGCAACGACAAGGTTCATCCCCTCTATGGCCATGGGGTATGCAAGTGGCCAGGCTGTGAAGTAATTTGTGAAGACTATCAAGCATTCCTTAAGTGAGTTTTCCGATCTATTTTTATCGATATATTTTCTTTACGTATTCTCGATATCTAAACTCCATCCGCGCCGTTATCCATCTGCTTTCAAATCCGGTAACAATTTCCTTCAGCTATAACAAATTTTGTTGTGAATTATACAATTTTAGTATTTCTTATTAATAATATGAAGAGATATGAATATGAAGTAATTTATTGAGATTAATAACGAATCGAAAAACGTCCATAATTTGCGTTGAACCAAGTCCAGACCTTATTGTTTACAATAAGACATATTTTAGAGAGGCGAATTTCCAAGCGTAAGTAAGTGCGGAAAAAGAAGCCTCGAATACCTCGTGTACGGGAAACCGAAGAAATAGGAGGAATAAAAGTCGGTAATTAAATTGGGGAGAATGAGGCAAAGAAAGTGTAGAAAAATCGCTCGTGTCAGCGTATCTCATTGACATCAGGCGCTTTCGCTCATCGGCTTCGAGCCGCAACCGCAAGCTCGTCGCGGCTCCATCCCATCCGGAGGATCCTTCGTAATCACGTAGCTCGTCTCTCGGTGCAAACTCTCCCTCAAACAAGCCGTTACTTAAAAAAAAAAAAGAAAAACGCTAATTACCTTTGTCTCATTAATATTCACGACATTCGACCGCATCGTTATGCCCCTCAGTCTAATCCCTCTTCTATCCCTCTCTCCCCTTCAGTTCGTCCGTTCAAGCCTCCCTCGACCTTCCCGCATCTTCGTTCTTTCAACCGACCGACTCCCGCCTCCTCTCGCCACCCCTTCCACCACTCCCGTCGATACAGCCGTTCGTTCCGTCGACGAAGAAGGATTACGGAAATTCTTAAATACGGAATCTTGTTGGCGTTGTTGGCACCCCCCATCCTCTACCTACGACGCGGCGAAGCTTAATTTTCTGTCCTGCTGTCTCCTGGGGGTTTGACGCTTCCGTAGTCGGAGAATGGAAGCGTTACGTGCCCGGGATTTTTCGTGGCTTTCGACACGCAGATTTTTCGCTACTTTTTCGCCAGATAATTGTGACTTTCTTTCTCTCTTTTCCGTATTTTCGATTGGTGAACATAAGTCACGAGTAATATTTAACTTTTAATCAGTTGTTTTAATGTCAAATTGGATTAAAGATTGCAAGCTTTTTATGGTACAAATCTTTATTCTGTCACAACGAGAAAAGATTACACTAAAATATTAAATAACTTTAAATGAAATTTCTGTGTATATGAAACATATAAACGTTTAACGACAATAAATTTAATGAATTTGTTTAAATTTTATATATTATTATATTGCACTTATATATCCTTTTTTATTATTTAATCCAGTTTAACAAAAGGATCAATAAATGATTATTATGTTAAAATATTATAAATAATTTAATCTTAACTAGCATTTACTTAATGTTATTTGTGTAACATTGTAATACATGCATTGATTGCCTTGATTGAAATTGCAACGTGTTGATGTAAACTGTCATTGAAATATTGCAGACATTTAAATACAGAGCACACATTGGACGACCGATCGACAGCGCAAGCCAGGGTCCAGATGCAAGTTGTGTCGCAGCTAGAAATTCAGCTGCAAAAAGAACGAGACCGACTAGGTGCTATGATGCATCATTTGCACATGGCAAAACAAATGGCTTCCCCGGAGCCGCCAAAGTCATCTGAGTCATCGGTAAGCTCTGCTTATTATATTTATAAAATTCTTTAATTTATCTATTTATTATCATAAAAAAACCATTCATTACAATAAAAAAATATGATAACTATAACGCCGATTTTTTTTTATAACAATCTAACTTTTTACAAAAAAATATTTGAGATATTTAATTTTTTGTTATTATTACAGTTTAAAATTTATAAGTCAGAATGTTTACTTTATATTAATCAGAATTTATAAATACTGCTATCGTTTTTGCTTGACTTCATAAAGAAAAATAAATTAATTATCGTTGAGGATAATGAGAATAATTTTATTTGCAAATTCACTTTACATTAAAATTATTAATTGTTATATAATATTATATCACGAAACAAAAGAAAATTTTTATTGTAAGCCGCAATTATAACACACAATTAAGAGTTTGCTGTACATTGAATACTGAAAGCCGAACCTGGAAAAACGGTCCGACCACGTGATGCGTAAACTTTCTCCGCTTGCGGTATTGCTACGAGATCGTAAAGCCGGATTTTCACGACAGACCAGCTCGTTGGAAGATTTTACGAGCTCCTCGCGGCCCGCTAACAACAACGCGAGTTTCAGTTTTAACGCGCCGTCGAGTCGAGTGCTAATTTATACATAAAGTTTGCATTAATAATTCATCGGAGCCGCGGTAATTTTATATCGCCTTAATTAAAACCCCTAACAAGTTGGGCAGTCGGAGAATACCAATATCGCATTAGCCCTCCGCGCGCCGGCGACAACGCTCGACGGCCGCGACGGCTTAATTATTTTAACGCGGCTGTGTGAGTGATTCCGCCACAAAGATCAGATTGCTCGTGTACGCCACTGCGATATGTAATAAGATATCCATATTGCAAAATGCATATATTGATATTCATATTGCATTAAGTGCTTTAAATATGTATAGATAACATTTATTATAGAATTTACGAACAAAAAAATAAATACGAGTTATTACTTTGTTCTCATAACACAATTAAAGTTTGCGTATAATTTTGAAGGATTTCAAAAGTACAACCATAGAATTTAAAATTTGTCTGAGTTTATGAAAAATTAGTTTAATTTCGGAAATTGCTCTGTAATTACATAAAGATATCTCAATTCTCTCGTCGCACTTAATTTAATCTTAATATGATTTTTGTTCGACAATTTAGTTTATATTCGATTCGTTGATGATATCTCTTCGTCAGTTATGCGCCTCGTTTTCCACGATTTCGGGAACTCTCTCTTTTCCAGACGGGCTCGAATTTACCAAAGCTAAATTTTTCCACTCCGCTGATGAGTCAGCCGCCACCCAACTTCTCCCAGGTGTCACCGGTATCCATGTCCGCGCTGGTGTCCGCCGTGAGGTCGCCCGCGGGTGGTCAGCTACCCCCGGTTGGCAGTGCCCCGATGCCGCCACTTCCGACCATACCGAATATGTCCAGTTTACCGCCCATGCCCAACATGCCTGGCAGCATGCCGAGTATGGCTGGACCAATCAGACGGCGCATTAGCGACAAGTCAGCTCTTTCTTTGGCAGGAGGTAAGGTCATCTCTTCGTCTCATATAATCTCTTAATTATCTCGCCTGACAGGTGAGATTTGAGGTAGCGTCTTCTAGGACATAATGAGGGCCAAAATCGCACATTTTGCGTTACCAAGATCAATTTTGTTTTTTTAAGATCAATTTTGCAACAGCTCTTCCGTTTTACCTGTTTCAAGGAAAATGGTTGATTCTGTGTTAAAAGATTGTTGGTACGTCGAAATATCAACACATAATGTAATATGTTTCGTTAGTCGCTTACATATTAATAATGAAAATTGGGTTTTAAAACTGCGTTAAAAGATATTGAATTATTAACGATTTGTTTTATTAATAAAACATTTTATATTTAATTTTATATATAAAGACAAATATATGTTATATATTTGTTAAAATATATAACTGTATATTTATTAAAATTTCTTGCCAAATAATATTATTAACTGCGATTTGCGAAATGTACATACATTACATAGCTATATATTATTTATTACAAGTTACTAGAGATATTTATTAATTCCTAACTAAATATATCCCTTTTTAGCAATTTCTATTATACATTTTCTATATTTTATTTATTTATAATATACGATATACTTCGTAAAGTTAATGTCTTTAATTAAAATGTTGTTGACGAAACCATTTTCCGGACGTGTAGCTTTTAATTCTTAAAATGCATACGAGAGCTTGGAAGTGGATTAATATCGTCTTAAAGAAAGGTGAAACGAAAGAAATGACAATTCAGAAATTAAATACTATTCGTAGGACTGTATGACGAGGGCACTGTAAGGCGCAGAGTAGCCGTCGATAGATCTGGAATAGATATTAATGAAGGTAACGATAACACAAGATCATACTCGGGGTGATGCGCGAGCTTCGAAACGCCATCATGAAAAATTTCACAATGAATCTCTTATTAAATTGTAATAAGAGAAGCTATTGTTTTTTAAATTACATTGTACAGACTTGCGTGTCTGGAAAATAAGTAACGATATTATTGTTGTGTTTTCATTAAAATGAAAAGCAATAAATAATTATTGAAATATTATTGATTTGAGAAAAGTGTGAAAGATAAAAAGTGTACGATATTAATATAATATTTCTTAATTTTCTTTGTAAACTAATTGTAGTCTTATGGAACATCAATATATACTTTTAAGATAATATAATAATTATACATATTTTTTAATTACATGTTTTTGGCATTTCGAGGTTCGTCACCAAAACATATTCACTCCGACGAAATAAGAAAATACCGTTCTCCTGTAGCAAGTGCTCTTTACGGTCCTCTCTTGGTCTCTCGTGCCTTTTCCTATCGTAAATTGTACCACACGCACAGATTACTTATGGTAGCGACTATGTCACGTGAAGCGACAGTGTACGACACCTTGTTGGCGGCGTAGAACGAGCATAGGTGTGTAGAGAGGGATGCAAGGAAATTTATATGCGATGAGAAATAGAAAAATGACACGAGATGAAAAAAAAAAAATTCTTTCATCCGCCAGCTCGAACCTCTTTCTTATCGATGCTTTTGTTGTTTCCTTATTTCTTGTGCTGCCCGCCCTCCCCACCGTGTAGGGCTGCCCTACATGCTGGAGCGTGCTGGCCTTGACGTCCAACAAGGTACTGTCAACCTATTTTCCACGTTCCCTTTTGTGGCTTACAGATTTTCTCGCGGAAGAATGCACCTTGCATGAGCGCTCACCTCCCTTTTTCATCTTGACCTCTCCGCCTCTTCACGTAGCATCAATTTTCTTAATTTTATCGATGATTCTCGAGATAATTAGAAAAATCGCGAGTACTCCAAAACCCCATGCGAACACTTGGGATTGGATAATTCGATCGGCCATATATTATCTTTTTTTTTTTTGGCTTTTCTTTCAAACGCGAAAGAGGTGATCCATGTATTTGGTTTGAACTACTTTTATTTTCACGCGAACAAATACGTGAGTTAAAATTTTAATGCGAAAGTATAAATTGATGTAACGAATAATCATTTCAAAAAGTTAAAGAAGACAGTATAGTTGCGCGAAAAAATTAAATGGAGAACTTTAATGTTTGGATTGCCTTTTTCCGATTTTTTTGTAATTTTTTTTTTTTTTTTAATAAAAGCATGCATCTGCACATATTTCTGCAGATATAAAAATTATCATTATTTTAGAAAAATATCCGATTTTTGGTTAATATTGATATATTTTGCATATAGTTTTAAATTTATTTGATCACCAATTTTTATTTTAAAGTTTAGAAATCCGTTGAAAAGATGAAAAATATAATTTAGAAATATATAATTCAGTAAAAAAATACGAAGTATAAAGTTACCTATATAATATTAAATATATCTTATATTGCATTATACCTTATATTGCAGTTCAAAATATCCTATATTGCATTATACCTTATATTGCAGTTCAAAATATACATTTGCTTTTCATGAAAAACTCATTAAAAATTTAATATTTGAAATTAAATATTTAAATCGAGTTAATTTTTCTGAAAACACCGCGAAAAATACGCACGGCTTAGTTTACTCGCCGTTTAAGAGCATAATTTCACGTGATCGGCACAATGTTTGCTTGTTTGTTGTGATCCCACTGTTCACATCTTTTTGCGCAAAAAAAAGTAAACAAGTATAATTACTTGTTATCAGTAATAAGAATAATTAGCTTTCGAACCCGCTACGGCTTTTAATAATGTACAGGGTAAATGAAATTGTTGCGTCCGATTTCAGAAATTCAGCGAAATAGGGAATTCTACAAGAATGCAGATGTCAGACCACCGTTCACGTATGCATCCTTAATTCGGCAGGTGAGTGGTTAATATAATTGCCGAAGGATTCTCCGGATATCGTATTTTCCCATCGCGTCGTATTAACATAGCGAAATCATTGTGGAGATTTTCTTTAGCAACATAAATTAATTTGAATGCTCATATTATCGTGATTATTTTAATAATTTCCGGAATATACTGAAAATTAATTTTCAATTTATTTATTAAAGTTATAGCATGTTATGTTAAATATTATTCAGAATTTAATGACGTTTTATATTGAAGCTCATTATATCTTAATTATCTAGATGCAATAAAATTTATTTCATTATTTATTAATTTGATTTATCAGAGAATTTATCAGATAGAGAAATTTTATAATATTTTCGAATTATCGTGTAATGTCGCAGTCTAAGATTTTACGAAGTTTTATGTGACATACGAACCGATATCACACATACATGTAAGGAACCTTCTCGTTTGTAGACACTTATAAATACCTTGGCCATGATGTTTCGCCGCATAGAATAGAACAAGTTAATGTAATTACAATGTTGCTCTTTTCATAGTCCATCATCGAATCTCCTGAGAAGCAGCTGACGCTCAACGAAATTTACAACTGGTTCCAAAACACATTCTGCTACTTCCGGCGCAACGCAGCAACGTGGAAGGTATATCTTATAATTCCAGTAGTATAATTACCTAATTCATTTCAGTCCGCGAGAAAATTAAATGAATAACAGATGAAATCAAGTAGCTTTTGTCTTGAGATTCAAAATATTTAAAATATAGCTTTTTTATCACAATTTTTTTTTTAATTTTTCACGCTTGCAGCTAGTAATTTTTACAAAACGTGAAAGTATTCTAAACTTTTTTTTTACAACAGTTTTATTTTTTCATACGAAAATCGAAGTATATGTATCATAATTCCAAACGTAATCTTTAAATTGCGAGAGCGTTACGATAAAGTGGAAGTGACTCTCTTTTAACTGGACGAAATTATAGCACGAATCTGTTTGTGCAACGGGAGTCACAAGGATAAAACAATCACGCAATTTGTATTTATACGAGCTGATTAAGCTGAATGCGCTTAACAAGAAAGGATGACAGCTTATCGGAGAATTTCGGATTATTACAATATATGTATTGATTTGGATTAACAGGCTAAGTGACGTGCCGGGCAGAGCAGCTGGTAATGATAGTTGTGTTGCTTTTCTCAAATAAGGGGGGAGAACTGGTAACATGTGAAATATGACATATTACGAGTCATTTATGAGCCATCTGTCATTATATTCTTCCCTATTTCCCCCTGCGTTCGCCCGACCACTTCAATGGCATCGCGTGTCAGAATAACAGCAATTCTCTTAAACTAATAGTAAACTAATAGTCTAAATCAATAGTAAATAGAATTGGAACGTCCTTACAGACGTATTATCGTATTAACGTTATATATATTCGTACGGGCGTATTACGTCAATTATTTTATCGTTTAAAATGATTGCTGCCAATGTAAATGAAAGAGAAATCGCGCATTACATCTGCAGAAGCGCATTAAATAATAACTAGAAATATGTGTTCAGTGGAGATCTCGTGAATCGCTTTATTCTGACATAAGAGACATGTATTCCGAAATGATTACGGCGTGTCATTATTTACTTAATCCGGAACGAATCGACCGGACAAAATTGCCGATTGAACGTCGCAGGGCAGTAATAAAAATTAACATATCCCGCGCGTCTCGCTCCCCCTCCCTCCCCCGCCCCTCTCCCCGGGCATCCGAAAGCACAACCGAATATAACGTGCCGATGGTTCATGATCGATTTGTAAGCCGACGTGACAAACCGCTTGTTGGCAAGAGTGTTTGCGCGCGTGCGTTTTTGCGTGTGTGATGCGAGTGTGCGTGAAAGTAATTGACGTTTGCCATGACGCTTCGCCTCGCATGGTTATGTGTATATGAAAACATAAAGAAAAAAAAAAAAAAGAAAAGAACCGCAAACAGGTTTGCCGCGGAGGGAGCGAGAAGGAGTGTGAGCGGAGCAGAGCCGAGCGAGGGGACCCAACACGACACGGCGACAGGCGGATGGCGACAGACACGTCATCGTGCGGCCGCCGCGCGTCCCGCGCGGCCTCTCATCGAATTTTACATTCGGCCCTGCGGCATGAATAATTGTTGTCGTTGCCCCTAGATTTAGATGACTCTAGCTGTGCATTAACGATAAAGGAATGCCACAAAACCGTGTCTCTTTCGATTAATCATATTTTGGTTCGTTACATCCTCATGCGCGGCCTTCGACGTCGCGATTTTCACTGCCGGTCCTCCTTCTGTGCTAACAGCGATCATCATCACCGCCATCGATCACCGTCATCGGCCGCCGTCGTCGACTATTATTGGTGGTTATCGCGTCATAATTATACCGCTGATTATCGGCTGGCTAGACTTTCTATTATTATTTGTTTTGTGTCTGTGACAACGCGATAACGGATTTCTGTTTCTTCTTCGTTGGCTGCCACCTGGAAAGACATTGCTCGGCCCTTTTTAAATAATAAAATTAGTCGTGACTTGAGTAATTGCATTTATAGAAATGTCTCTTAAAATGCAGGTACACTATTGCACTTGCGTAGTAATTTGCGCCGCTTTTACTTGACATTTATCGTTTACATTAGTTTTGCATTATTTTATTTGTGCGCTTAGCATTTCTAAAATTCTATTTTTTACATACGTTCTCCAAAAAAACACAGCTTCAAAAACGCTATCAAAATTGCGTAATGTTTAAGTTGTTATTGGGAAACATGCTGTACCCAATGAAAATAAAAGGTAGAAACGATACAGCATTTAAGTTTTCGATGCAAATTTAAGTTTAAGGTGGCAGCTTTGCTTATATTCTTCAAGAATGCTAAGTGGCCGTTGCATCCATCCTTGAATGACGACAATAGAACAGCTATCAAATTAATTTTTCCATCGCGAATAAATTTATATTCGGACAATCTATATATTATACAACGTACGTTAACAAAAAAATTTGACTTAAAAAATTAAAATAGAAGCTGCAGCTATTACATATCTTTGTGAGAATATTTCTGTTTATATGTCATTCTCTAAATATATGATGGAAAATTCGTATTTTCGTAATTTATTTATACTTATCTGTTTTTAAAATATATTATAAATATATATGCATATCTCGCGCGTCTTCAAAGATGGCTGACACGAGCTCGCGCAAGAGCAGCGTTGTCGAACAGGTCATCCTAAAGTTGATCTAGGTCAAAATTATTATCCACAAAAGACTTGAATCGTATTAAAACGAGGAAGTATACAAGATCTAGGTTATAGATCGAGGCCATAACTATAAGACTGAAAACGTCATTTTGTGCAAAAGTACGTTAAGTCATAAAATATTCGGGAGCTCGGTGATTGTATAACTTCTTCGTATCATTGAAGTTTATAATGTGAATGCGCGCACGCATTATGAGATTAGTAACTTCTGCTGAGATTCAGTTGCAACGTTTTACTTATTGCTCGTCATATTTTCATGAATATGGATTTCAGTAAAAACGGCGGTAAACGCGGTATCACGGTAAAAACATTGAAAGATGTACGTTCGCTTCGGTATTTAGTGACAGATAAATTTTGTTTGGATTCCATCTATATATCCTTTTCTATCTTTGTCACCGCAAACAAATTCTAATTCTTATTAGATCCGACCGGTTACGACATTGAGAATACATTGCGTCGGAGATACTTCGCCGGAGATACTTCGTATGAAAGAGCTCTAGGAAAAACTCGAAATACCACGCAGCGTGTATACATTCGCATAATATTAACTCAAGTTATTGATACATCGTTGCGGTAAACATCGGGAGATGTATTTAATCAAAGTTCCCCGCGCGCGCGCTCAAACCAACCGCGGAGTGTTCTGCGCTCGAGCACTCAACGAGATCGTTCGCAACGCTGCTCGTTGGCACCTTGGCACCTCGACAAATCATACGGCACACGCACAATATCGCACGTCTCACTTAGCAACCTCGCGCCTCGGTCTCACGATCATCATCCATTCTTGCCTCATCAGCGTGATCGGTCATCATCACCCGATGTCGAGAGGACTCTCTACTCCGCCTGCGTAATACATACAACCGCTGCACGTATACACACGTATACACACACGCGCCACAAATCGCCACGAACGGCCGTGATCCTTCCCCCCCCCCCTTCTTCGCCGACTACCGGGACCGTGATTGAGTTGGCTTCGTTCGTTTTTTGCGTTGCTTATTTAGTCTGTGTATTATTTTGTATAGAACGCAGTGCGACACAACCTGTCTCTCCACAAATGTTTCATGCGAGTCGAAAACGTGAAAGGGGCCGTATGGACGGTGGACGAAGTGGAGTTTTACAAGAGACGCCCACAGCGCGCTTGCAGCACGACCGGGTACGTTGCCCCTCCCCATGCCCCATCGATCAGAAAAAAAAAATAATTGATAATTACAACCGCGCTTTTTACTCTCTTTATTCTCTGTCTCTCTCACTTTCTCTTTCTCTCACACCGATATATTTCTTACCACCCCTTTTCCGGCTCCCTCCTGCCGGAGCGGAGACCAACGAGACTTAATTGAAGCCCGCATTCTTTTCCTCTCCCGAATGCATCGAGGGGACAATTCGTCCGAATCCCACAATTTCCTATTTTCCTCAAAATTCTTCCTTTTATATATTCCTTATATATATATATCTATACTTCACTTTTTCTCTCTTTCTCTGTCTTTTTACATATACTTAAATCATATTTATATTCACTCTTATTCGCTTTTACTATATTTATAGTCGTATCGCTGACCACCCCCCCCCCCCC